ACGTGACACAAGATACCACCCTCCTAGACCAATTTTCGAAGCTCGATTACTCCAAGACAAAGAGGATTCATAAATGAAACGACCTGTTTTCGGAAAGCTCTCGACGCCGTTTTCGGCGCTGCCACTTTTTCTGCCGTGGAGAAATCGAGCTTTGAAATTCGCTGGAGGGGGTTGGGTATCTTGCGTGACCTACGGTATATTCCTGGTTCCCTGGCGATTTGGGTGCATTGCCTAGCTGATTATGGGAATGCAATGTTTTCGAAGAGAGCCAAGGCACCCGATTCGTACCGGTGTAGAAAATGTCTCTCCGTCGCAACGCACCATGTTGTGTGTAGGTGGGTGTCGTGTTTATCTCCTTTTCGCGTGTCTTGCGTACATGTCGCCAAAACGCCGAACCAGGTTCCCCACATAGCTCCGCCGACGAGTGCAGGAGGACCAAGAGGGAGTGTTGCACCCGTTGGTGAAGGTTGACCGATGGCTACTGAAGGTGAGACGGATTGGGCAATACCTGTTGAAGTGGGAAGAACAGAGTGCAGGGCACACGAGGAGTGCAGCGACCAAGGTTACCAGGTTACAGGAGTAACATTCTGGTGTGGGGGCGGTGCAAGTGTCTAGGTTGTAGACAACCTACAGCAAGGCAGGTTCTGCCTCACAAACACGTGTCGTATGGTTTCCACCCCCTTCACCGCGTTCACGCCCCTGTTTGCCCCTGTCCCCGGTTGAAATCATATTGGTATCAAGACGAGATTTACCGAATGTATCCTGCCGTTCCTGCTGAAAAATCGTTCGGTCATTGTTGCTGTAATAGGGCGCACCCGATGCATCGATGCCTTCGTCGCCGCCTTGAGCCAAGCAAGCGAGGGAGGGAAGAAGCGCTGGTATACGCCGACACTGGAGCTGCAGCTGACCTCGCTGGACATGTGTAGGGCGTGCCGAAGTACGTCGATCTTGCATGTGCGTGTAGACCATCTGACTCCTCACAGCTTGTGGTCTTCTCGGACAAAACAGACATGGCCGAACACAGGCAGCTCCAGGCTTCGTGTCTCGAGCCGTGTGCCGGTCGCGCGGGCTCTTCGGTTGACGTGGGCCCTGTCCATGGAAGATCTGCTGAAGAATGCCGCCATCGAGCTGTGGACGTCGTCGCAACGTCTTGAGCTGCAGGGATCGTCGTGTGCGTCTAGCTTAGGATCAGAAGTGGTTTGGCCCCAAGGGCTGACAGAGCTGGTGTTGGCAACGCACTCGGATGTTCCAACAGACACCATGCGGTGGCCCGTGCTCCTGCAATATCTGGCACTTTGGGGTAGTTTCAACCAGCCTATTTCGGAAGTCGTGTGGCCGGTGTCCCTGCAAAAGCTATCGTTCGGGGACGAATTCAATCAGCCTATTGCCGGAGTCGTGTGGCCGCCCTCCTTGCAGAGGCTATCGATCGGGGACGACTTCAACCAGCCTATTGCTGGAGTCGTGTGGCCGTCCGCCCTGCGACAGCTATCGTTCGGGGACGAGTTCAACCAGTCAATTGCCGGAGTCGCGTGGCCGCCCTCCCTGCAGCAGCTATCGTTCGGGAAGTACTTCAATCAGCCTATTGCCGGAGTCGTGTGGTCGTCCTCCCTGCAACAGCTATCATTGGGGTACAGCTGCAATCAGCCTATTGCCGGAGTCGTGTGGCCATCCACACTGCAACAGTTATCGTTCGGGTCAAGATTCAATCAGTCAATTACCGGAGTCGTGTGGCCGGCCTCCCTACAGCAGCTATCGTTCGGGAGGAACTTCAATCAGCCTATTGCCGGAGTTGTGTGGCAATCCTCCCAGCTGCAGCTATCATTGGGGTACAGCTTAAATCAGCCCATCGCCGGAGTCGTGTGGCCGTCCTCACTGCAACAGTTGTCGTTCGGGTCAAGATTCAATCAGTCAATCGCCGGAGTCGTGTGGCCGTCCTCACTGCAACAGTTATCGTTCGGGTACGAATTCAATCAGTCAATCGCCGGAGTCGTGTGGCCGTCCTCACTGCAACAGTTATCGTTCGGGTACGAATTCAATCAGTCTATTGCCGGAGTTGTGTGGCAATCCTCCCTGCTGCAGCTATCATTGGGATACAGCTTCAATCAGCCTATTGCTGGAGTCGTGTGGCCGTCCTCCCTGCAGCAGCTATCGTTCGGGTCAAGATTCAATCAGCCTATTGCTGGGGTGGTGTGGCCGTCCTCCCTGGGACAGCTATCATTCGGGGACGAATTCAATCAGTCAATCGCCGGAGTCGTGTGGCCGGCGTCCCTGCGACAGCTATCGTTCGGGTACGACTTCGATCAGCCTATTGCCGGAGTTGTGTGGCCATCCTTCCTGCAGCAGCTATCGTTCGGGAGGTGCTTCAATCAGCCTGTTGCTGGGGTGGTGTGGCCGTCCTCCCTGGGACAGCTATCATTCGGGGACGAATTCAATCAGTCAATCGCCGGAGTCGTGTGGCCGGCGAAACTGCGACAGCTATCGTTCGGGCACGACTTCGATCAGTCTATTGCTGGAGTCGTGTGGCCGTCCTCCCTGCAGCAGCTATTGTTCGGGTCACAGTTCAATCAGCCTATTGCCGGTGTCGTGTGGCCAACCTCGCTACGATCTGTGACACGTGGTGGAGCAAGCCTGTTGTGAAAGGTTCAGTTTTTTTTTTAAATGATTGCATGGATTCGTTCAGCGTGTGTTGAAGCGAAGTGCTTTTTTGTACCGGTGCTACAGTTCAAACGCAGCACATGTCAGTATTCATATCCACGAACTCAAATCAGGGAGAGTTGTTGTTTCATACTGTATGCGTGAAAGACATATTCGAATGCTACCTTTCAGGCGCATCAAATTATCATGGCAAGTGTGCAATCCTTGTCGGGTGTAGCAGCCGTTTTCCTGGTAGAAGGTAATGAGGGTTCTGGAAATCTCGGTAGGGGATTATTTTCTGTCCTTGAGAAACACATTTAAATAGTTCGTGCTTCGCGTGTAGTGGTATCTCTTGGGTTCATGTTGACCCGTAAAGGTCTTGCCACCATGCATTGTGTACGGGTGTAAATATCTTACGCATCGAATAGGTCGAGTCTGAATGGACGAGAACAAACTGACCGCTTCGGGGTCAGATACATTGCGTCGACGTGTGCATCTTCACGAGTTCAATTTCTTGCCTTACAGAAATGGGTATGAGCATATTCGAGTGACCACCGTTGGCATACCAAGGGATTTGTTGGAGAAGTACGAGCATGAAGTTTCGCCCCTTGATATCCAGGAACGTCCGCTACGGTGCCGTCACTGGAGCGACAGGTGGCCGGAGATTCGTGTGAGGAAGAGTTTTTCTGTCTAACGTGGACCGTTGATGGGCTCGTGTCAAAGAAACGCAGTGGTTTGTGCGGCGCTCAGCAATGGGTCGATTCTCGTCGGTACCGATTGAATGTGCTGCCGAAAATCCGGCCGATCCAGTGTGTGTGTCGTATGTTGGGTTTCGTCCCAGTTGTTCTGGGAGCCATGGCTACTTGTTGGTGTTCTTCGATGGGCCCTATTTGTGTAGACTATGCTACCTCCTTTGTGGGATATTTCGCAGGCGACGCCGACCGTATGGATTTTTGTTTAGTTCTGTTCTGCAACAGTATTTGATGACGTTAATTTTCGTTTTTTCTGGGTCCTCTTTTGTTTTCATTCAAGCATCCACACAATAGTGAGTTGCCAGTTTGCGGTAGTTGGCCTGTGACCACGGGGAGGAGGCATCGGCGTCAGTGGCACTGGTACGGACGCTAACAGGTCCCGACCAGAGACCAGAACGGGTTTTCATGTGAAGACATCAATTTTCTACGGGCTAGCCTCTGCTTTAAGGGGGCACCGCAGCGTAGTTCTCTGTGTGAGATACCCTGGACCCGACCTCTTCTGTTGGAAAGGCAACGTGTTGGGGTAGATTGAAGGAGGAGCGACGGAGTTCAATGGTAGAGCAAAAGATGAGTTACTGCCAGTCCTTTCAAGGTTTGTCTCGAGCTTTCACGTCTGAAGGGGGGGAAGAACAGGGGTTTTGACGCTGGCTCTTTTCCCATGCTTTAATCCTACTCAAAGAAAGAAAACAACCTTCCCGCCAGGGTTAGGTTCGTCATTCTATTGTCATCAGTAGAGGGCACCATGAAGAGGCGTCGTGCGTGCTGGCACGTTCAGGTTTGCTACTGGAGCGGAAATATCGAAGGTCGCACCAGCCTCTGAAAACAGTCCGAAATCTGTGCCGGAACCAGGCGGCATCGAACATTTGTCACAGCCTTGCCCTGAACGGAGGGGTGTTAGCAACAGCTAGTGGCATCAGCTACTACTGTAAACCGTAGTTCAGGAGACTGGGGTCGGTGGCGGGGAGCATGGCTGTGACAAATGTTGGATGCCGCTTGGTTCCGGCGCAGATTTCGGACCGTTTTCCAAGGCTGCCGCCACCTTCGATATTTCAGCTCCAGTAGCAAACCTGAACGCGCCAGCACGCACGACGCCTCTTCATGATGTCCTCTACTGATGACAACAGAATGCCTAACCTAACCCTCAAAACTGACCTTATTTGAGCGCCTTTCGTTTTGGCTCTATTGACTTGAATTTAGAATGGTGTGAATTTTTACTTGATTTCAAAGGAGGCCTGTGGAGGTAGACGTGTGAAATGTATGTTTTGAGCAGCCTCTACTGTCCCCCTGTGCGAGAATCAACGATTTCTGTTTTTCGCGGGAAATTATACTACCCTACAGGAAAGCCCGTGGCGCGATTGACAGGAGAACCCAATGGCGATCCATACAAGGTCAACACCGTCACTGTCTTCATGTCTACGACGATAGTGTCAACTTCCTGATTCTACTCCATTGACAACGAATACACCGCCGATCCTTCCCACCGCCCGCCTCACGCACGTCTGCACTTCTGCTTTCATTAACCCACACTCGTGCGATATCTGTGCCTCCCCCAGAACCGTTCCATTCCCCCATTGTGTATACAAACACGCTTCGAAAGAAGTGCTGTCACTTCCTCTACTGCAGTACTTTCTCTTCCTCGGCGTTGCGCATCTCTATCGACTTGGACGGGACCGCGATAACCGCCTGCATCGCCGCGGACGGAACACCATTCTTCTCGAGAGACTCGATGGCCGCGATCGTCAGTCCCCCCCCAGGCTGCACGCACGTTGTCCTTCAGAATAGCTTCACAATCAATCACCACAAACGGAGCAGAGGCATAGAAGGAGCGACGGAACACACATCACGGGCGTACGTTTGACGGCATCGATCGACGAATGCGTCCAGCCGAAAGGAGATCGAAGGCGATTCATCACGACGTAGCCGCCGGCGGGGAGAGGTCATCAACGAGATGTCCCTCGTGCGCAGCACCGTTGAGGCACCCGCCGTTTCTACAGGGACCGGAGGTGAAGGGTGAAAGCGCAAGCTCATCCGCCGATAAGCACAACACATGCATATCGCATAAGGAGCTACCGTCGAAGAGGGGAAGGGCGAGTGAAAAATGGACACGCTAAGCACGCCATCGGACATCCCGACATCACCAACAACCAAACAAACGGGCGGACGAACGAGCCTAAGGCGCCCAATCCAATGGAATAGAGTTTCAAGATGTCACGCTAACCGGAGGTTATCGCAGTAGGCGGCAACTACAGCGGATTAGGGTTGACAGCATGTTGGTCGCCCTTAGAAATATCACCGGTTGCAAACGTCCGTAGCCAGTGAGAACGTGGATTTTTCGATGCCATGGTTCTGTAGATGTGGTCTAACGGAGTCTCCCAACATGAAATACAGACAAGGAACAAGCGACGATGCACACTTTATCGGAAGCGGAAGTTTCCGCGGGAACAATGTCAAATAATGTGCCTGACCCGGAATAAGACCCTTGGTCACGACCCATAAAACCATAGCGAAATACCACGACAGCACCGCGAGAGCAAGGCCTCCGAAGACATGACCTCAACAAGGAAGGCTCATGGGAACAACACAACGGCAGGAATATCCCCTCGACTAACGATATGACTTCAACACCTGCTCTACAAACCATTGCCTTCAGCATTGCTCGTCTGCGCGAAGGAAAATACTTACGAAAATACGCAGACGAAACAGACAAGCGTTCTATACTGCAGACCCAAGAGTCAAGACAACCCACCCCTACCCGGCACCCTAGCCCCGAAAGCCCCTTGCCGTTCTTTGGCCCACTTGGGTGCTCTCCCGTCTCCAGAACCATCTCCGCGGCACCCTTGACGGTTTGCGCGGCGAGCTTGATCGCCATCGCTCTCGGCAAGCCCATCCGGACGCCGCCGTCCGCCAGCGCTTCGATCAGCACGTACATTTACGCCGGCCCGCCACCGCTAACAACGGTCAGACCTGGTGAACCGCAAAGGGTAAAGAGAGATCGGTACTCATGTTTGGCATACCTCAGCCGTTAGACCATTGACCGCGTGTCCTCGAGGTGGCGGGGGGGGGGGGGGCTGCCCATTTTAAAAAACCGGGGGGGGGGGAGGGAAATCGGGCATTTACATTTTCACCGATCCTCCGGAAGGCCCTCCACAGGCCGTAAACCCAGGGCACACAATATGGGATGCTAAAGGGGGACCGGGGGTGGCTCTTCACCCCCAAAACCCTCTAACTACCCCCCCAAAAAACGTAAAAAGTCACCGGCAAAAGGAAAAAAAAAGGAACACACAAATCCAAGGGGATAAAGCCAAGGGGGAAATCAACACTATTGGTAAAAACCCCCAACAACAACTTCAAAAATGTCCACAAAAAAACTGCTGCTGTAACACACCCACCAATAACCCAAAACAAGGGGCAATTATCAACTTCCCCCTCCATCAAAAGGACTCCAACCCCACCTAAATACCCCCCGTCCCCTGGAACCAAAAACCATTCTTCTCAAAAAACTCAATGGCCCCAATCGTCAATCCCCCCCAGGCTGCCCAAACTTTTTCCTTCAAAAAAACTTCACAATTACCACATACGAAACAAAAGCGTAAAAAGAACGACGAAACACACATTAA